ATGTGGAGGAACCAAAGGTCTCGCTTCGACGTACCGGGGTGTGTCCTGTTCGGCCGATAAGAGAGGACGTTGAGATGCTGTCGGACGCGTCGCCTATCCCTGGGGGCGTGCCCTGCCCGTCCTATAGGACGCGCGTGCCCGGTTGGACTAGTTCACTTATTGGGCCGTGCGTGGTATTGGGCTGGACCGAGGTTGGGCCCAGACCAGAACACATATGTTTTAAATTTAGTTTTGTTTTAGTTCTTAGGTATATTAAAAAAACAAATAAAAGAAAGAAAATAATTATTTCATTAAATTATATTATTAAAAATACTACCATAAATATAATGTAGAATTAGTATTTCAAAAATAATATACAAAATATTAATTAAAATGTAAGTTTAAATAGAAGGAAAAAAAAATAAAGCATATGTGAGGAAGAAACTTTATTATATGAAAAAAGTATGCTGTCAAATTATTACTTTTCTCTTTTTTATTTAAAAGTTCCTCAAAAAATTAGAGAATCTAAATTAATTCCTAAGACAAAAAGTATATATTAAATCTCTTACATTTAAATATTTAACACTTATATCAACACAATTTTTTTATTGTTTAATTATTAAAAATACTTAATACATTTTGATCTTTAATAAAAAAGTACTATTTGATCTCTTACAAAGTTTAATTAGGTTTTGATTTCTAAAAAAATATATTATTTAATACCTTAAAAAATACATAATTTAAAAAATACGTATATGTTCAATCATAAAATTATAAAGAACGATTGTACTAACTATTACAATTTAAGAAAAATATTTGATAGTTTCATCAAATTTAAAAGACAAAATAAATAAAATAGAAGGAAACGTCAAGTTGACCGCCAGCCATGGTGTAAATCTAAAAGTAGGCATGAATCTAGGACTACCATGTCTAATTTGTGAAGGAAGAGATAATTTTCTACTAATCAAGGGGTTCTTGGTTCAACCCTTATTTGATGTAAAATTTTGAAAAAAAATAATAATAAATTTATCTAAGCAAAAATAATACACATGTGAAAGTCCAGTCACAGTTCAAATTAATAAAGATATTTTTTTCTTAAAGATTAATTTGAACTCTCAAATTTTTATAAGAAATTAAAATTGGTCTTTACTCTTTATTTAATTATTCTACTTTGGTAGTATGTCTTTGGATTTAAATGTCAATAAAGATCGGTTAAAGTAAGTTGATATATTTAGTTAAAATTTAATGGAAAAAATTGTTTAGACTTTTGGTCTATTTGGTAAGTAAGTTGATTTATTTAGTCAATAAAGATCGGTTAAGCTAACTTGATATATTTGGTATTATGACTTCAATTTTATTTAATCAACCAAGCACTTTGACTCGAGTGGTAAACAGACTCCTACTAAGGAATGACTATTTAGTGTGATAATTATAACGCCTAAGACTGCTTTCCAGATTATCGACTGACCCCACAAACCAACACGAGTCTTTTCAGCATGCTTTATTCTCGCTCAAATACTTTTCGGAAAACTTCCTATAAGGTCACCCATCCAAATATTACTCCAAGGCAAGCACGTTTCTACTACAATACATAAATTTCAACCTCGCTCTACATCATGTGTCTTTTTTGGATACCCGTCAAATCATAGAGGTTATAAATGTCTAAATTTATCTTCAAATAAAAATATTATTTATCGCCATGTTTTATTTGATGAAACATATTTTCCTTATGCAAAGTTGCACACCCCAACCCACGCCTTCCTAGACAATGACATGTCCCCTTACATCATCGACCATCTCTTAACTCAAACAAAATATGATCCATAGCAAATTCCATTGGCTTATCAAATTGACCGCCATCCCATTAATTTAGACCAACCAACCACTTTCCCCACTCTAAACTCATCCATATGGCCAACACCCGTCCTTTCTCCTACTCCCTAACCCTCACTGCACCATCACACCCTCCACCAACAAACTAATCCTCACTTCCTCTTATTTTCCAACCGTCCTTACAAACAAACACCAAACCTATAACTAGGAATCAACATGGAATTTTTAAACCAAATCAAAAATATTATGTCCTACACACCCGTATTACAAAATCCCTTCTCCCGAGAAACCCAGTGTCTGCACTTCGAGACCTAAATTGGAAAATGACCATGGATGATGAATATAATGCTTTAATTAACAATAAGATGTGAGATTTAGTACCACAACCACCGGGTGTTAATGTTATTAGATCTTTATGGAATTTTAGACATAAGGAAAAATCTAACGGTCCTTTTGAGAGGCATAAAGCCCGACTTGTAGTTAATGGTGCGGGCCAACAGGTTGGCATTAATTGTGGAGAAAATTTCAGGCTAGTTGTTAAACCAGTAACAATTCAAACTGTTATTACTTCTTAGTATTGTTGTTTCTAAATCTTGGAAAATTCATCAGTTGGATGTCAAGAACGCCTTTCTTCATGGCGAGCTTATATAAATAGTTTACATGCATCAATCGTTAGGCTTCAAGGACCCTGAAAATCCACATAATGTGTGTTTTCTGCGTAAATCCTCATATGGGCTAAAACAAGTTCCTCGAACTTGGTATAAACGCTTTATTGATTATGTTTCCTCCATTGGTTTCTCTCAAAGTAACTGGGATTACTCTCTCTTTATTTATAAGAAAGGATTTTATATGGCATGCCTCCTTTTATATGTTGATGATATTACCCTTACTAGTTCCTCTAATGTTCTAAGGCAATCTAACATTTTACTACTTAGTTCAGAATTTGTTATGAAGGATCAGGGACCCTTGTACTTCTTCCTAGGCATTGCGGTTACTCGCCACTCCAGCGACATCTTTCTCTCACAAAAGAAGTATATTGAAGAAATTCTTATTCGTGTCGACATGTGATCTTACAAACCATATCTCATCTCTGTTGACACAAAACTGAAGTTGTGTGCCTTCCTTTTGAAAATCCATCTCTCTATTGCAGCCTTATAGGCGCACTTCAGTATCACACTTTTACTCGACCATACATTTCCTATCCAGTTCAACAAATATGTTTATTCATGCACAATTCCATGGAAAACCATATGTATGCTTTCAGACGTATTTTGCGCTACATTCAGGGCACACGTCAGTATGATTTACATCTTTATCACTCATATATTTCCTCTTTAATCTCTTATATAAATGCTAATTGGGGAGAGTGTTCAGACACCATATGTCCCACCTCTGGTTATTGTGTGTTTCTTGGGAATAACTTACTCTCTTGGTCCTTCAAAATGCAACTTACATTATCTCAATCTAGTGTTAAAGTCGAATACCACAGTGTTTCCAGTGTAGCTTCTAAATCATGATGGTTAAGCAATCTTCTTCTTGAATTACATTATTCCATTCTCAAGGCAACTTTAGTCTACTGTGACAATGTTAGAGTCATTTGTCTCTCTGACAATCTGGTCCAACATTAACACACGAAACACATCAAAATGGATAATCATTTTGTTTGAAAAAAGCAGCTCGCAACCATGTTCGTGTTCTCCACATCCCCTCGCGATATCAAATTGTAGATATTTTTATCAAATGTCTTCCTTTAATACTGTTTTAGGACTTCAAAGGCAGTCTCAATGTTCGTTAACTTCCTGCATCGACTGAAGGGGAGTAATAGAACAAAAAAAATTGTCTATATTTATTATATTTTAATTTATTGTAATTGTACATTAATTAGTATTGATTTGTTGTAATTGTACATTATTAGTTTTCTAAACTAATAAGTGAAATCTTGTATAATAGTAAAAAAAGAGATAAATGAAATCAAAGAACTAGAGTTTGTTTGGATGTGTTTTAGTTTATAGTTTTTAAAAACTATTTTGTAAATCAATTTTAAAAGACAGTTTTGAAGAAAAAACAAAAACAAAAAACATGATTGATAATTTTACTTTTAAAAACTCTTTTAAAGTTGTCTAATATTACAAAATTGCTATTAATGAAAAGTGTATCAATTTTTCTTGTTTTTCCCAATTCCTAATTTTCAAAAATCAAAATCACTAAAATTTATTTTAATTTTTTAGTTTTTAAAACTCTTCAGCTTTGTTTGAATTGATGGAATCGGATGGAGCGGATCAGAATGAGATGGAATGATATTCTATTGTTTAGATTATTTAAATTTTGGAGGAGCCGAATGGAATGGTATGGATTCCATTTCATTCAATCACTTACTACCGTATTAATTTATTCCCCTCCAATTTAGGCGGAACTAATAATTTGTCTTATTCTGTTTTAAAATTTTCAAACAATAAAATTAGATATCCATTCTGCTTTGTTGATTTGATAATATCCAAACATAACGTTAAATAGTGAATAGTTTTCAATTCCTGCTACCAATCAAGATTTATAGTTTTTAAATTTTAAAAACTAAAAAGGGTTTAACATAACCAAATCTAACACAAACCCTTACTTTCTTACACGTAGGAAAATAGTTCATTCATGTCTTAAATTTATATAAGTAAGCTTCACAAATTATCACCATGTCTTAGTGATGAACTTGTAGAAGCTCCCACGTGCCTTACTTTTCCTTTCTATTCCTCTTTTTCTTCCCCTAATCTATAACCTATATTCAGATAACCAAGTTAGTACACAAGCCATAAATTTTATCCTGTGACATGTTCTTTTGGGAGTAAAAGTCTTCACGTCTCCATTCCATTAGTTAATTTGTTGCATTTTGATCAAAGGTAGGTTTCAGCATGGATACATGCCAATGCCATTTAATATTTTCCATGATCAAAATGGTAAATTATACAATCACATCATGTTAGTGTTATAATGAAAAACGAGAGAATAAGCAATAAGGGCTTGTTTGAATAACTTTTTCAAAAAAGTTTCTTTTGATCCTCTTTAATGCCAATTGCTGATAAACTTTTTACATTGGAACAATTCACATGTAGTCTTAAAGAATAAAATGCAAAAGAAGCATGAACTTTTCTATATAATGAGTAGAAAAAACATAGTTTAGCATCTCAATTCAAAGAAAAATGATGTCTTCTTACATTCTTATTTCATCTGTTCTTGTTTTTTCTTTCTTCTTACAAGTGCAACCGTCCTTTGCCATTGGAAAGGTGAGTAGTGAAAAAACTGAAAATGATGTATTTAATTAAGATAATAAAAAATTCACTATGTTAGTTTTTAATGCATTTTCTGTTACAGTCCTATGTTGTTTACTTAGGAGCACATTCCCATGGCCTAAATCCTTCTTCTGCTGATTTAAACTATGCAACGAAATCACATTACAGTTTATTGAGCTCTATCCTAGGGAGCAATGAGAAAGCTAAAGATGCAATATTCTATTCGTATAATAGACACATCAATGGTTTCGCAGCAATGTTGGAAGATGATGAAGCAGAAGAGCTTGCGAGTAAGAAAGTTATAAGCATATGCTTTTGTTGTCTTCCAAGATGTTTTGATATATTAGATATTGGTTTGCAGGAAATCCAAATGTAGTGTCTGTATCCTTGAACAAAATGCATGAACTGCATACAACAAGGTCGTGGGAGTTTCTTGGACTAGAAGGTAATGGAATAGCTCCTAAGGACTCAAGTTGGGAGTTGGCAAGATATGGTGAGGGCACAATCATTGGTAACCTTGATACAGGTATATATAGGTTTCATATGATTTACTGACAAAAACCATTGGAATCCTTTTCTATGACAGTTATTAGTTTCAATGGTTTTAGGATACAATGTTGCGATGCAAATACAATCTTTTTTCTTAATTAGGTGTATGGCCGGAATCTGAGAGCTTTAGTGATCAAGGAATGGGCCCTGTTCCGTCTAAGTGGCGTGGAAACGGGATATGTGAAATCGACAACTTTATCAACTCAAATAAAAGTTATTGCAACAGGTGCGATGGTGTGAGACACTGACACGTGTCGTGATATTCAATTACATCAAATTTTCATATTATCACCGATGTCGATGTGTCAGTTTCATGTCAAACCTTTTGATATTCATGTTTGTGTGTGTGCATCATTCTTAATGCTATTCACAGTTGTTATTGTTCCATAAATGCAGGAAGCTTGTTGGAGCTAGAATATTCTACAGAGGTTATGAGGCGCAGGCGCATGCAGGCATACGAAACACATCACTTTACACTGCACGAGACACTGTGGGCCATGGTTCTCATACTCTATCAACAGCTGGAGGAAATTTTGTTCAAGGAGTAAGTGTTTTCGGCAATGGTAATGGCACTGCCAAAGGTGGATCTCCGAAATCTCGTGTTGCAGCCTATAAAGTGTGTTGGCCAGGAGAAGGCGTGCATTCTGGTGGCTGCTATGACGCAGATATCTTAGCCGGTTTCGAAGCTGCCATAAGTGATGGTGTTGATGTGATTTCAGTTTCTCTCGGTGCAAAGTCTCGTAATCTGTTTGCAGATTCAGTTGCTATAGGCTCTTTTCATGCAGTTGCCAATGGTATAGTAGTAGTTTCTTCTGCTGGAAACTCTGGACCTTATTTCGGAACTGTTTCTAATACCGCACCTTGGTTATTCACCGTTGCTGCTAGCACAATGGATCGAGACTTCACCAGTTATATTAAGCTAGGTGACAGCAAGTCCCTTAAGGTATTGCATTATTCTCGATTCTTGTATACATGCGCGTGTAAAAAAAAGATTTCACATGCGATTCGAACTTGAATTCAGTTCTTTTTTGGATTTTAGGGAACAAGTCTTTCGCCTAAGGACTTGCCAACAGAAAAGTTGTATCCTTTGATTAGTGCAGAAGATGCAAAACATTCCTATGCTCTAACTAGAGCTGCGTAAGTGCACATTCTTTGAGTTCTATTGTGAATGCGACTGATTTTTTATATTATTTCTTAGTATTCAGAAGATTGTTTCATATGAACTCTTGTAGGAAACACTGCCGTTTCGGAACACTTGATGTTAAAAAAGTGAAGGGTAAAATTGTGATATGCCTTGAAGATGAATATGTTGGAACATTTTATCCAGGCGCAGAAGCTTTTTCTGCAGGAGCAGTAGGAATGATTTTGGCTAGTGAAATTGATAGCTTCTATGATTCTATTGCATACCCTCATATTTTACCTACTTCATATGTCAATTATACAGATTCTCAATATATTGATTCCTACATCAGAAGTGATAAGTAATGTTCTTTCTTCTACCTTCATCTTTATTTCCATTTTGTTATTAAAGTTTGCGGAAATTGATGTTTCTTTATATATTGTAGGAACCCTGTTGCTTACATAACAAAAGCAGTAACAGAAACTCCGATAATTCCAGCTCCGGTGATTGCTTCATTCTCATCAAGAGGACCTAGCACCATTCTTCCATCAATCCTAAAAGTTTGTTACCTTGTTCTTAGTCATCAACTTTGTGATGGATGCGTACATTTAATTTCAATTAGCACAATTTTATTATTATATGAAACACAGACACCTGACACAACACTGACACCTGACATGACGGATGAGAATGGATGATAACTTAAGAAAATGAAAGTAATTGAATGTAACTTTAAGTCTATATGTCGGTTCTGCAACCGGTGTGATTGTTACAATTGCTTTTTTTTGTGTCTTGTGTTCTAGCCTGACATCACTGCACCTGGTGTGAACATAATTGCGGCTTACTCAGATGCCGCGAGTAAAAATGAAGATAAAATAATGACTTCATACAAATCCTTGTCTGGAACTTCTATGTCATGCCCTCATGTGTCCGGCGTCGTAGGCCTTCTCAAAACACTTCATCCTGAATGGAGTCCAGCAGCTATCAAATCCGCAATCATGACCACTGGTACTGCATAACTCATTCATTCAACGCATTGATCCGTTGTTTAATATGTCGTATTTTTGCTCATAACTCGTGATCTTCCAATTGACTTGATGCAAAACTATGTCTTTTTCAGCAAGTGGAATGGATAACAGCCAAAGACCTATCCAGGATCGATTCGAAGAAAACGCAACTCCATTTGCATACGGTTCAGGTCACATCCAACCTGATCTTGCTCTAGACCCGGGACTAATTTACGATCTTGAAGTGGTTGATTACATGAACCTATTATGTTCAGATGCTCAATGGCATAAACAAGTTGAGGCTATTTATAACAGGCCTTTCATTTGTCCAAAGCTCTACAATGTGATGAATTTCAACTACCCTACAATCACAATACTTGATCTTGGAAACAAAGCCGTAGTTGCTAGTCGAACCGTTACGAATGTTGGACCTCCAAGTAAATATGAACTGCAAGTAAAGGCACCTGATGGAGTTTCGGTTTATGTTGTGCCAAGTTTCTTGAGCTTCAAGCAAGTTGGTGAAAAAAGATCATTCAACGTTGTTGTAAGGAAAATTACAGAAAAGGGTAATGCTACAATGGAATATGTATTTGGGGAGTTATTGTGGACAAATGGGAAACATAGAGTGAGGAGTTCTATTGTAGTGAAGCTCAAGTAGAACTGAATTTCATGTCACTTGGCTAAAGTTGTTATGGCATCATCGATAATAAATTTAGAAATTGATCTGTTTTATTTATATAGTTGTAGTTTTTTTCTTTTTTCATAAAAAATTTGATATTTGAGACTCGGCCTTGTGACCTAAATGATATGCAAAATTCATTTTAAAGTTAGAGTAAAATTCTATATAAACTGACTTTAGATGATAATTAATACTATTAGCAATATTCGAACTTAAAAAGATCTTACTCTCGTTGCCTCTGTTGACTTCAAAAACTTAAAAACCCAATGACATTTATATAGTTATAGTTATTTGCATGTTACAAATTTTGAAGATAATTTAAAAGTTACAAATGAAAGAGAGAAGAACGTGAATCAAACATATAGTAAGAATGTGAAACTCTAAAAGAATGAAATGTGAAGATTTAGGTGAATGACCCACATCACATGACAAGATAACCCCACTTTAATGCAAAAGCCAAATGTCTTTCATCCTACTCCACACATCAGTTACATACTTTAGATGATGGGCACGATTCGTGTTTTGTTTGCTTCATTCTCAATTGCCAAGTATCAACATTTCAATGCAAAAAGGAATATGTTCTCAAAAGTGGGGATGCAATTTTTGTTTGTTAAAAATTTCATTATTGAAATGGATAGTCCTTACACAAATAATAATAGTTAAAAACTAAGGTTTATTGCCATTGAAAAAAATCATAAACACAGTCCGATTGAGATAAAAATTTGCAAATTTATGATCCCGTGGTTTTAACTTTTCATTAATAAATCAAAAAGCTTTTTGTGAGTAGATTAAATTTAAAAGAAAAAAATAACATGAATTTATAATTAAGATTTCCATAATAAGGCATTCATTCATTGTATTAAAAAAATCAATAACTTTATTCATGGGTGTAAAAAAAATCAATAATTGTTCATAGGTATAAAAAATAGTCAATAAAAAGTTAATGGCTTAAGTTCACTTTTAGGTAACAAAATCATTTATTTTTATATATGAAAAACAACATCGATATTGTTTTGCACTTTCCAGTAAATTCTAAAAACTTTAATGTTGTAAGTTTCGAACCACATCCAGTTTTTTTTATCTTAAACTAAAACACTTTTTAGTGAAAAAGAAAAAAATGCTGACAACAATTCCACATTTATCAAATGAACTAGATTGAGAATAAGAATATAGAATTTAAAACAGTAATAACTAGAACAAACAAACTTGATCAATAAAATAAAACCCAAATAAATGGATAATTACAAATACCAATTCTAATAAACCATAAAATAAAATAAAAAATACCTAAAACAAAACGGAACAAGAGAATAATAAGAGAACAATACTGAACTAGAACAATGGCGGCGGCGCATAACCTAAGAAAGGCCTTCCTCCACCGCCAACACCGCCGCAAGAATCGCAGTAACTAACAGTATCTTTGATTTTGTGAAATCCATGCTTGAAAACGCCGAATCCGAACATAAACCCGATCACGATCACAATCACGATCAAGCAGGTGCATAGCATGCAGACTCTACCTGGACAACACATCGCTGATGAATGAGTGAATTGTTGGGAGAATTTCGGATCTGAGATGAAAAAATGGAGAAGAAAATGGTGAATTTAAAAGGGGAAATAATGCGGAGAAAGAAAGGTTACGGATTGAAAACGTTTATGACGCTTTTGTTGGCTTATAAGGAAAGCTATATTGTTATGCAATTATCTCTTCTTTCATTAAAAACTATATATATATATATATATATATATATATATATATATATATATATATATATATATATATATATATATATATATATATATATATATATATATATATATATATATATATATATATATATATATATATATATATATATATATATATATATATATATATATATATATATATATATATATATATATATATATATATATATATATATATATATATATATATATATATATTTTTTTTTTTTTTTTTGAATTTTTCCATTGTCTATATCTCATAAAACTGGTTTTACGCTTTTGTTGCCTTATGACAAATTATGGGATTTAATTTAAGAAAATAATGCAAAGCACTTAGATTTAAAAATAAAATAGTGAAAAATATTAAAATATTCATAAATATGGTGTTAATGTTAAAGTAAATATTGCCAAAAACAAAAGTGTTCTACTAGATAAATGATGTAAGCCTTTGATATTCCAGAACTGTTTTATATCATAAATAAATAAGATGCAAGATTTAATGTGTTTTTAATTTTTTATTCATTTTGATTCCTCCATTTATAAAAAAATTCATATTCATTCTTTAATTCTTAAAGATATATTATGTTACTTGTTTTTGTCAAATTAACAACGGATTTGTGACATGAATAATTAACATGATATTTTTTTAAAAGTTAAATAATGAATATAAACATTTTGTAAATTAAGGGACAAAAATAAGCATTGAAATTTGAAATGAAAAAGATATTAAGTCAAAAAGCAAATTATTCCCATTGTTATTTTATAATATACTCTTTTATTTCTATTATAAGTCACCTAATTTATTTTATCAAATTATATAGCTCTTTACCTTTTCAATAAATTATTAAGGCTAAATTATATTATTGATTAACCAATTTTATTTAATTCACAAAATTAATTTTTTTTATCTTAAATTCAAATAGTTTTAACATCTCTTTCATTTTTTTTCCATAGGAAATCAATGGGATGATAATTTTTTTAACTTATATTATATTTATAAAGTTGCATGATTTTCCATGTTTCCCAAAAAAACATGCCATAGAAAAAATGAAAATAAAGTTAATTTTAAATAAAAATATGAGAGGAACTACTATTTAAATTTAAAATAATGGATCAATTTTGTGTATGAGATAAAATATGAGAACTACAATTGTAATTAAGTCAATTATTAATGATAATTTTCTTATCATATTGTTAAGAATCCATTATTATTTATGTTTAATTATTTAAATTTATTTTCTCATATTATTAATGAAAAAATTGTAAAACTGTTTTTAATTTGTCTTTCTAAAATAAAATTAGTTAAACTTTTTAAGTAAATATCTAAAGTCAAAAATGATTTATAATAAAAAAAATTGGAGGAAGTATTATTTAAAATTTTTTACCATCTCATAAATTTTTATAGAAATTAACAATGAACCATTAATATTTTTCATTATATTCTTTAACATTTTTCATTTTTTCATTATTTTTTAAAAAAATTTATTCATAAATCATTTGATATAAAATAATTTTATAAAATGATTTATTATTTTTATTTAGATAAACATTAATTATCGTTTTGAATAATTTTGTCAAATAATATATTATAAAAACCGTATTTAGTTTTGAAGAATTTTTTCGTGGTTGTCAAATAATATATTTTAACAAAACTATAAAGACACATTTTAATTTTTTTTTAAGCTTAAAAAAATTAATTTATGTCTATAAAATTCTTAAAAGTTAAAAAGCTTTCATACTTTTATGATGTTATTTCTAAGGTAATTAGGAGTACATGGTAAAAAAATAAGGTATATAGGAGTATAAATAATTTTCATGTGCGAATAAAATTTAAATAAATATTCATATGGTAATTTTAATAAACTTAAATTTTTTACTCAAATCATAAAATGGAAATTTTAGAATTAAATAACAAAAAAACTGAAACTCCTACATTTTTGCTTTTTTTTTTTTCTACAATGCTAATCTATTAATAGCTATTAGCAAACCAAAAACATTACGTATCACTAAATTTTGAAAATGTTAAACCTTAGCAACAAAAAAAAAGTATTGTTTTTATTAGGAAAATAAATTAATGATTAATGATTTTTGAGTAAAATGAACGTGTACGTTTTGTTGCAAAGCTTGAATAGGAATGTTGAAGGCGATGTGTTAAAGGTGAAGTGGTTGAGTCCGTTACAACAACTATCTTTTGAATCTAAGAATTTGGTGGTTAGTCTCTTGTGAAATTAACCAATGATTGAGGTGGGGTAACCATGAAAAAGTATCTTAATGGTTTAGTTTAATGTCTCTTTTATGTCAAACAAAATTTAATATTTATTTTGGATCCAAAATAAATAAATTTACTTGGTGTGTTTCTTTAACTTTCTCTATTATTTTAACTTTTTTCCATTGGTTGAACCTAGTTAACTAATCACGATTTGTTATAAATGTGTAAGTAAAATTCAAACCACTCACAAATAATATATATATTAATTTTTATTTTAAAATAAAAAATTATCAATAAATATTTTAAATTATTATTTTCTTCAATTAAATCTCTAAATAATATATATTATATATATTAATTTAATCCTTAATTAATTATAAAAATTCATGTAATTTTTTATAATCTTAATAATATGAAAAAGAATTAATAATTTTATGTACTTTTTGAGCTATATAATAAATAAAAAATTATATAATTTAAGTATTATATTAAACATAGAGTATTATGTTAGAAATTTAATTTTAAAATATTTATTTTTGAAATTAATTAGAATACTATCCGTCAGTGTAAAATTACTTTACACTCTTTACACTATCATTCAATTAAAATGAATTATTTTAACACATAATTATGGAATTGAAAATTAAAAAAATATTAAAATTAAACTATTTAATAACTATTTCTTTTATGTTTTTTTTATGTATTAAAATAATTTATTTCAGTTAAATGACTGTGTAAAAAATTTTACACTGATATTGTATTCTAATTATTCTAATTAAAAACAATAGTGGAATTTAGTCATTTTTTAAAGGCCTAGCTTGCCTTTGGGCCGGGCCTGCCTGAAATTTTAAAAAGTATTCATTTTTAAGTTACAAGTATTCACCAACAGGTTTTTGGCATAGCCACGTATAAAAGTGGAACAAAAGTAAGACGTCAAAATAAGCTAAACATATTGGCTCTAGATTAAAAAGATGGACACAACACTAACCAAAATAATTATAGACATAATCTCACTCATCGAGTTTCCACTTTCATCTCCATATGAGACAAACCCTAATGGACAACAAGAATCTCAGAAGAAGTGTTGGCGCAAATATACTATATTGAGGAAGTATGAATATAATGAATTATGAAGAAAAGGTTTATTAAGATTGATCACAATATTACAAATTGGTTGCACATATTTATGTGTGATAACCAACTATGGTTAGTTGTTTCTAAGAAACTCAATTTGTCATAAACTGATTTCTTACAAACTAACTACCTAGCTTAGAAAATAACCAATTTTTTTTGTATAAAGAGTTAACAACAAAAAAATGAATTAATCAATCAACACTCCACTTAATTCATGTTCTCTGAACTTTTTATTCTCATAAACTTTTTTAATTCCTTAAACCATGCTTTCTTCAAAGAATTGGGAAGAATATCAACCTAATACAACTCTGATTTATAATATTTCAGCTTAAGATTTTTCTTATTCAATTGATCTCTAAGAAAATGATATTTTTTATATGTTTACTGATGCCATGACACATAGGATGATTAACTATATCTATTGTTGACTTATTGTTTGTCAACTAGCAACTTCATCTTGTCATGTTAAATGACTTTCAGTTCTTCCAACTCTTCCAACATCATTTCTATCCATAAGGCTTGACATGATGCATAAGAAGCTACTACATATTAGCCTCACAAGATGATAATGCTATTATGCTTTGCTTCCTTGAGCTCTATGAGATTGCAGCACCTCCAATCATGAATATATATATATATATATATATATATATATATATATATATATATATTGAAGTGTTTTTTCTCTACCAAAATTTGAATTAGTGTAACCATAAGCAATTACTTTCTTGTTATTATTTTCTCGACTTGACATTAACACACTATGATCAATTATGCCTTTGATGTATCGCAGTACTCTCTTAGTTGTTTTTAGATGACATTCTCTTGGTATTCTTCTTAGTTTCTTCTTCTGAACCATTGTTGGTTGTTCAAAGTTGGGAGGACCTCCAGCCTAACCATTAGTCATCCCTTTAAAGACAACTCCTTGCATAAGTCTCATAAAGTCCATAAGTGGTAATTCAGAAGCATGAGTAAGACGTTGGAACATCCTGTATGACATCTTGGTTTGCTTCCTAACTTGACAATTCTTATAAATTTTACCTTCTTCAATCTTGAAATCATCACACATATGATATCTTTCTATGCAACAACACCCAAGCTTTATGCGTCATATCTTAGTTTCTGTATCCACAATGTCATCCATAATGTCTGAAACATGATCTTCGACATTCTTCTCTACAATGGTAGCAATTATCTTCATCTTTATAAAATTATTTCTCTTATTGCTATTATAAAATGTAACATTGTTTCTTTCTCCTATCAAGTGTCTATTGCAACTACTGTTAAAATGCAAATCTTCGCAAGAAAATACCTTGTGGGAGGAATAACCGATATGAACAAGAATATTAGACTTGTCATGCCAAACTTGTTGATGATGCCTTTCAGACTTCTCATTCCACTGGTGATACATATGTTGATGATGTGGTTGTCTACCATACAACTACAACAATACAAGGAAATT